TGTAGAAAAAGGGAGACCTCCCTTTGAAATGTGGTCATTTCAGAGATTGTCCCTTTTCCCAGGCCCTGTGGAAGGTTGGGTGACTCACTTCCCAGGTGCCGTGTACCACACTACTCCGTCTTGAAGAAAGTTGACTTTCCCTTTGGGAGAAATCAATCAACAAACACAATGGACTAGAGTACCATACCCCAGCCTTTAAAATCTCCCTGCCCTCTGTTTCAGTGGAATTGAGTCCAGAGGCCAGAACATTCCTGTTGCGATAGCTTTCAACAAAGTCGTCTTTGCCTATTGAAATTTTGTCCAGTGCAATTTTAGCTTTGTCAACCATAGAAAAATTTGAAGACCACAAATTTGCAACAGCATCAGACCATAGACTGTGGAGCTCTCCCACCAGCACTTAGCCATCTGCAAATTAAGATGATGAAGGCCTAGACTCAACCACAAGTAGTTGTGTGTCTTGGGTTTGGCACAACGAAGCAAAGGGTCAAGGATAGTGACATAAAAATTGTTTTTGATGACCCAGCATGGGTTTTAGACTGGCTGGAGAAAGAATCAAAGTTTCTTGATAGATTTTTCTTTTTAGATTTATTTCTTTATGATGCAAGAACTCTGGTACAGACCACAGGTGAGGGAGTTGAGAGGATTCACCAGAGACAGAGTGGGGAACAGAGCAGGCCCATTGACTGAAATACACTGCTGAGGGGAGCAGCGGGTGAGACAGGAGAGGTCTGCTGTGCCATGTGTGTAGCTCCCTGGCCGGGGATCAAACTTGTGCTGCAGTGGCTGTGGACAGCTTCATAGTGCTGTGCCTCAACCCCTTGCGCCACCAGGGAGTCCTCCTCTTGATAGATTAAAAGAAAAAGAAGGAATCAAGAACGTGGAAGATGTGTGAGAATATAAAAAAAATAAATAAAGTAGATGTAAGTAAGGAGATGGGATGAAGCAGCAAGAAGGATGGTGCTCATCCTCCGAGACCTAGAGACCCGCCGGAGCCTGTTCCCCCGGCTGGAGAGCCTATGCTGGTTTCTCATTGACTCAGGGCTGACGTCACTTCCTTAATGTGACAGCTGCCTCTTTCACCCTCCTCTCCAGCCTCGTCTGCAGCATCTCACACATACACATTAGCACAAGTCGTTCCCACCTGAACAACCTTAACAACCCCCCAACATGCTCTGCTCCCCAGTTACCTGCTCCTTGGTGCTTTCTATGACTCCAGGCAGAAATCCTGGGATATTCCCTTCCCTTCACAGCGTGTCTATTGCTGACAGTGCCCTTATATTTTATGAAAGCCTCTTCTTCTTTCTCAATTGCAGGTTAAAATGTGAAATTTGGGACCTCCCTGGTGGCGTGAGGGGTTAAGATGCAGCAGTATGAAGCTATCCGCAGCCTCTGCAGCCCAAGTTCGATACCTGGCCAGGGAACTACCCACATGGTGCAGCAGACCTCTCCTGACTCGTCTGCTGCTCCCCTCAGCAGTGTATTTTGGTTGATCTGCCTGTTCTGTTCCCCACTATGTGTCTGGTGGGTCCTCTCACCCCCCGCATCTCTGACCTGTACCCCAGTTCTTGTATGCATAAATAAATAAATCTTTAAAAAAATAAAAGTTAAAAAAATGTGAAATTTAAGGGTCTTGCTGTTGGACTTTTTTTCTTCATTTTTTTGGAGGAGACAATATTGTTTTGGGGGAGACAATAATTTTACCCCCTTAGTTGTAAAATGTAAAATACCTCCAAGTGACGTTTCCTCCCAGGCTGACTCACGGCAGGCAGGTTTCACTTCTAGAGACGGTGAGTGATGTTTCCAGATGGGCAGGGAGCAGCGGCAGGCCCGGTCAGGCCCAGGGTGGCGGCGGCAGGAAGAAGAGGGTGGTGAGGGCAGGCCAGGCCAGGCAGCCCTGAGGCAGAAGGCAAGTGAGGAAATGGAATCACTGCAGAGGGAGATAACATCCAGGCAGAGGAGATGATGCCCCACTTGCCCAGTCCAGAGAGTCCTAGGTGACAGCAAAGGGCATGTCTTCACCGCCGTCACCCGAAACAAGATGTCCTCTGAGGAGACAGTGGTCATCTGCCGTTTCTACTTAGAACCTCTGCCCTTCCTGTGTTCAACCAGATACCAATGGGCCCCCATTGGCAGTGCTGTCAGACAGGAGAGCCCCGCCTCTCCCATTATTGGGGTGGGGGGGTATGGAGGGTGGGGGCACACAAAAATGCTCTTTACCTGCTCAGCCATGCAGCCAGCTTTTGCCCGGGGATGTGAGTAATGTGCTGCCAGGTCATTCAGGTGAGTGGGACATTCATTGATTAAATTTCGTCAGACAATTCCACTCACAAGCGTGTTTCCATCCCCCTCATGGAAGAGGACGGGCGTGAGCATCTAGAAGCTCTGTGGTGAGCCTCCATTTATGATTCTGACCTGGAAATTTCAGTCTCCAGACACTCAGCTCTTACTATTCCTGACCCCAAAGATTTAGACCCCTTCAGAACACTGACAATGCGTTACTTCTCTGACTGTGAAGTCCACTTTCAAGGCCCCCAGCCAGCAGCCAGGCACACAATCCCTGGCTATGGTCTTCTTCAGCTCTGCTGAGCAGGAGAGGGTGGCAGAGGGAGGGCGAGGGCTGTCCAGATGGTTCTCAGGAACCCCAAACCATCTCTTCTTCATATTTCTTTTTGCCATGACTTTAGCTGAGCTTCCCATTTCTCAGCTTACCCATCACAGCTCTCCCTGATGCCTCTGCTTCCATCAGGGCCACCTCCCTTCCCTCCTGCTATGACGTTTTCAATGCTCCCCAGTGTTCCCAAGTTCAAGTTCAAACCTCTATGCTCAGTTGAGATAACAGTTGCACTCAACCTGCAATGACTCCATCCCCACCCCTTGCATACATTTTGCTTCCTCCAGTCTTGCACCACAGGACCTTTGTGTAAGACTATCCTTGCATTCCAATCGGTTTAGCACCTTCGTCTCCTGCCCACTGAGGTCTGCAGTACCCCACCTTCAGACATTCTGGCAGCTGACATCTGCCTCCAGACATTCTCAACCACCCCCTTCTCCTTCTTTTCCAGCTGGTAGCTCCTACCTGCCCTGCTTCCCTCAGTTCAAGTATTAAGTCAAACCATACACAGTTGTTTTCTTAGTTGAAGAACATTAAATATTGGCTACTTCGTATGGGTCAACTGAATATTCTTTCACTCCGGAAACCTTCACCACCGACCCCCAACAGTATCCCAAGATGTTCTTTATCCAGCACTTACCACCACCTACTCCAGTAACTGATTTACTTGTGGTCTCCCCGCGCTCACCTGACTATTCAGTCCCAAGTCCCTGGGAGCAAAGGCCAAGTCATAACTTTATCTCTTGGTATATCAAGCTTCCGCTGGCTCCATGCCTGGCACAGCCTGGATACTGAACCCGTGTTTGATGAATGCAGAGACAGAATACGGAGCATACTTTCCCTGGTGACTCAGTGTGATTATTCCTGGACACAGAGATGCCTTCAAGGCCTGCCAAGCACTGACAGCTCTTGGCTGGGCCCCAAATGAGCCATTGCCCTGTCCAAGGTGTTGTGAGTCTGTGTTTTGAATCATCCCCTCAGTGTGCCCGCCTCCAGGGATCCCCCGCAACTGCCAACATCCAAGCAGACTGAAGAGTTCCTAGTCAGGTGCTCCCTGCACTTTGGCCCATGATCAATGTGACAGTTTCTACACTGGTTCACCATCCTTTCATCTTACTTCCGGCCCTTGCTGGGTTTCATAATTTGAAGTCTCTCTTCTGATGACTGAGACTGTCATTTTCTAAGAACCCTCTACAGGTCATTTTCTTTTTAGAAAGTACTCAAGGCTGACTCAGGAGGACTCTGAAGAAGAGAAATGTCCCTGTGCTGAGATGCCCATTTCTAGGTCCCTGGCACTGAGTGACAGCATGAGGGTATCAGTGATTTCTCAAGGTTATGTTCTAAATGGCGGTTATGTTCCTGTAACCACAGAGGGCATAGGCACACTTTTTTTAGAGTTTTATGTCAATAAACACTGAACTATGGGGTCTCCCTGGTGGCACAAGGGTTAAGCATCAGCACTATGAAGCTATCAGCCACTACTGCAGCATGAGTTTGAGCCCCAGCCAGGGAGGTACCCACATGGCATAGCAGACCTCTCCTGTCTCACCCACTGCTCCCCTCAGCAGTGCATTTCAGTGGATCCTCCTGTTCTGTTCCCCATTCTTTCTCTGGTGAATTCTTTCACCCACCACACCTCTGGCCTATACCCCAGTTCTTGTATGCATAAATAAATAAATCTTTAATAAAAAACCCACTGAACTATGGATCTTAGATACAGGATCTTTCTAAATTTGGGGTTGAATTACTTTGAATTTAAAAAAAACTTCCCATTATATTTGATATAGAATGAAATCTAGGACTGTGGGATCGGGATAAAGAAAATCACTAGACAGAAGTAAGGAAAAAATATATTTTAAAGAAAATTTACATATTTTACTACCCCTTAGATATGTTAGTACACACCTTCAAAAATGATATATAAATCAATCAACAAACATTTTGCTTTTTTTCTCTTTATTTTTGATATCTTTATTATCATTTTATTTTTACAAAGTAATTACAATTTAAGAAGTAAAGCTATATATGCAAAAGAATGTTAAATAATATTTTAAAAGTAGCTTGCTGTTTGTATGAAAGTCCATATAATCTCCTTCCAAATATAATTTTACACCTTATACTAAACCAAATAGCTTATGAGAAATACATATTAAATAGCAAAAAAAAATAAAATAAACCCACATACATAAATAACTTAATGTAAAACAGAGTGTGACTCTAATGGTGCTTAACAAAGCAAACTATGATGCAATATGAATCAACTTCATTAATTGGACAGGTCCAATGCAACACAAACAAGAAAAGTGCTAAATCCCCAAGGGTGGGAAGTGCTTGACTTCAGCTGAGCTCCTTTCATTCTTGGGCTGTGTCCAATTCCATTCCAGAGAGCATCACTTTTTACATCTTCCTCATTCTCTTGCTGTAAGGAGAAAAAGAAGAATGAGCACAGGCAGAGCGGCTGGCTGGCAGAAATGACTTTGGTGAGGACTCCGTCTCCTCCCCTAACTTCCTCTCAGGATGCCCAGCAGCTCAGAGTCCACTGAGCAAGTTAAGGTCCAGTGAGGATGGGCCTTGCCCGACTAACCCAGCCAGCTAATGACTAACACGTACTGGACACCCTGGTCACAGGTGGCCTCTGTTATTCTCGTTAAAATGTTAATCAGATTCATAGATCTCTTGCTAACTGCTTATTTTTCAGTTTTTCACAACCAACCAATGTCACATAGTCTGTAAAATTACAGAAAGAGGAGGCATCTTTGCAACAAGAATCAAGCAGCAAGTGACAATCAAGTGACTATCAAGGAAACTACTACATCATGGGGAAAGTGTCAGAGATCAAAGTAATAAGAAAAATGATCTCTAACCTGGCTCTCATGGGCTAACCCAAATTTCCCCTTTAAAGATTTCATAGTGATTATGTTATAGAACCCTAGCAAATCTGTGTAGTCCTTGGTCCAACCATTTGGCGAGAGGCTAATTATTTGCAAATATTCATACCTGAGGACGGACACCGCATGTTTCACCCAATGCTTCCTTGGATCTGCACACACTGCTCGAGCTTTTGTGTGAAAGCTGAAAAATTACAAAATTTGATTTGTGATTTCAAACACTTTTAAGTGGTTTTTTTAAAAATGCAATGGAAATTTCATTTTCCAGTTGATCGCTCTACACTCTAAACATTTTAGCTAAAGAAATGAAGTGCTATAAAGTATAAAATAATTTCTCATAAAACTTGTTGCAAGAAATGAAAGTGATTCTCCCTGACTTTCTCTAAAATTTGACAAATGGATTTCCAATGGCAGGAAGATAAAGTCCCAGAATTGTGACTTAATCTTGTTGTTGGTAATTCCATGAAATAAAGATATTATGATATGTACATTAAAATATATATGTAATCTGAAATTTCCAAGCATTCCTAGCACAAATTAATTGAAATGAATGAATAACTTACATGATTGCATCAATGTCACAGCCTCCATTGGCCCACTGCACTGTGAAATTTTGGATAATTCTAGTAGGAAGTTTTCGTTCTGTATATCGGAGGCAGCAGTCATAGGTGTTTGCTGCTGAAAAGAAATGAAAAGTGTTGCGTCCACATGAATGAACGTATCCCATAGTAGGTATTATGGAGCTACTTGAAGATGAGGAAAATCAAGTGACACTAATTTATATGGCAAATAAACTATTTAGAGGAACAGTGCCGATGTCTTTGAAAGTCAAATGAACATAGTTTTCAGCTTCCTTTTAAAAATGGTATTTTATTTCCATTTGCTGCAATCACTCAAACATATGAGTGCCTACTTCTTAAAGAAGCCTTGTATAAATAATCTTTCAAGTCAGAAAATGGATAAATCGGCAAATATTAAGCTATTACTGAGTATTAAGAGGACAGAAGGACAAGAAGTTACAACAAAAAAAAAAATCTTCCTATAGAAGATATCACTAAAGTGCATTGAAATCATAATATTAGTCCATGGAAGTTTTTATGAACTTTTGTGCTTTTATGAAGTTTTATCTTTTCATAAAAGTTCAACACGTTCATTAACAGGAATGCACCTTTTGCTAAAATTATATACTCTTACATAATTTACAAGCAATAAAGCAATACTTGAACACTCCCTCAAGTTAAATTACAACCTAGTAGAAGTAAAGATAAGCATTATCTCAAAGCTCTCAGTTGATGTCCCAAGGTCTTAAAAGTTTAGTCAGGTGCCATAATCCACCCCTCAAGGTGAGTTTTGGACTTTGCTAAGTATTTATTTGGCGATTAGGACATTGGGTGTGCTAGCATTGCCTACATTTCCCCTTCACTAGTAATGATGCACAATTTATGGCACTCCCAGAAATAGCTCTTGTCCTGGAGTTCAGGGGTCTCTAAAAGCTCATTTGCCCTCCCAAATCTGCTGGGATTGACAGCAGAGAGAAAACCCTAAGCAACAGCAGTAACTTCTTTCTCCTCTACTCACCAACAAGTGACAATACACAACACTTCCTTTTGTAGACTTCCTAACAGATTCCTACCCCCTGGAGACCCCCAAAGGAATGTGAAGCTTCAAGAAAAATGAAAATAGTTCCTCCTGTGCTGGCAGAGAGTGATACTTACCTTCAGATTCACAGCAGAGGTGGAGGAGCAGGACTGACATCAAAGTAGCCAAGACCAAAGTTTTGCTACTGCACATCATTCTCAGCTTAAGGAACAGACCTGCTCAGTGCTGGGTACCAGTGCAGTGCAGTGCAAGTGCTGTTAAGCTCTGATAGCAGCCTGGGTCTGAGGTGGCCCTACTTAAAGCAAATGTTGGGAATGTACACAGGAGGCGTGTTCTCACTGGGGTTTTCCCCATTGATCAATCTGCCCCCTCATGTCGTCACAAAGAAAAGCACAGGGAAAACTTCCTCCTTTTCCCTAATGTTGGGAGGGTGTGAAGGTCAGGATAGGACTTGGAAGGGGAAAATTCTATTAAATTACTTCGGATTTATGAAGAGGGAAAAGCAACTCAGTTCTGTAACCCAGAAAAGGCTTTGTTTAGTTTTAACTTAATCGCTTGTTTCTAAAAAGAGAGTATAAGGATTAATAGTGATGCAAAGGTTAGCATTACACAGGAATGTGCCAGCACTCCTACTGTTGCCTGCTTTCCAGAGGCAATCTGGGAAGAGGAACAGGAGGAAGAAAAGGAGGCTAGATGTTGGGCGTATCAGTCAGGCATTGACAATCACATAGTCGGTGCTCAAATGTCACAAATACCTTGCATTTCTAGGCTGGTGACATATTCAAAGCAGGTGATATAACAATGCTTTAAAAATATCCTCAGTTTTAGTGAAAAATACCAGTCATTTGCTAGGATTCAAAACTCAGCTTTACCATGATATAGTGTCAAGTTTTCTAAGAATCTTCTACATTTACATGATCCTAATCAATAGTACAGCCCAGGAAATAATTCCCACCTGTACTAACTCTTCTTGCTTATGTGGTTGCATAACTCAACACAAAATCTTAAAAAGGTTGAAGAAGAAAGTCTAGAAATTCCAACAGAATTGAAGGGAGGAATAGACAATTCAAAAATAAAAGTTGGATACCTCAATACCATACTCTTGTAATGAATGCAAAAATTAGACTGAAGATAGACAATGAAATAGAAGACTAAAACGACACTATGAACAACTAGACCTAACAGACATCTATAGAATAAACAACAGACGGTCCTCTGTAGTGTATATGAAACATTCTCCAAGATAAATCATATATTGACCCATAAAACAAGTCTCAATAAATTTAAAATAATTGAAATAATACAAAATATGTTTTTAAAACACAATGGAATTAAATTAGAAATCATAACAGAAGAAAAGGAAATTCAGGGATTTCATAAACATGTGGATTAAAGAAAACTTTCCTGAAACACCCATGTGTCAGAAATCAATAAGAAAGTAAAAAATACTTTGAGATGAAGGAAAATGAAAACATAACATATCAAAAGTTATGTGATACAGCAAAAAATAGCACTATAAGGAAACTTACAGCAGGAATAAATGAATAAGGAACAGCAAGGCAATAAAAAAAAATCAGTGAAACCAAAAGTTAGTTCTTGAATAATCAACAAAATTAGCAAGCTTACTTAAAATAAGCAAAAAAAAAAAAAAAAAAAAAAGGGACGGGGGGAAGTCACAAACAAGACAAATTGCTAAAATCAGGAATGAAAGGGGACATCGGTACCAACTTCAAGAAATAAAAAGAGTGCTAGCAAATATAGTAAACAACTGCATGCCAATAAATTATATAATGCAAATGAAATGAATAAATTACTAGAAAGACATAAGTTACTGAAACTGACTCAGGTAGACATAAAAAGCTTTAATATTTGCAATAGGTAAAACCTGGAAACACCCCAAATGTCCAAAAATAGATGATTGGATCAAGAAGATGTGGAATATATACACAATGGAATGTTATTCAGCAATCAAAAAAGATAAACTCATGCCATTCGCAGCAATGTGGATGGAATGAGAAAGAATTATGCTCAGTAAAATAGAAGAAAAAAGAAAAATATCAGATGGTTTCACTCATAGGAGGAACATGGGGGAACCAAATCATATATCAGGGGAAAAAATAATAACAAAACGCAACACAACAAAGCAAAAATGGACAATTATAAATCAGAGACCTCCTGCAGGGCAGGAGGAGGGAGAGGGATCAGAGGGAGGGAGGGAGGAGCACAGGAGACTGAGGTGATGGTGCACGGGTGCCTTGGGGAAGGAAACTCTATGGGGACTACACCTGAGGGGGAGGGGGAAGCAAATATTGTTTAAAAATGAACAATGATGTAAAAATTAAAAAATTAATAAAAAAATTTGAAGCATAAAAAATAGAAAAAAAAAGCTTTAATAGATTTGTAATAAAGACACCGAATTGATCACTAAAAATTTTCCACAAAGTAAAACACAGCCCGAGATGACGTCACAGGTAAATTCTACCAAACATTCAAAGGAAAAGTTAAAAACTAACTTTTCAGAAACTTTTCAAAAAAGTAGAAGAAGTGACAATTTCCAACTCGTTCTATGAAGACAGTATTACTCTGATTTCAAAATAAGATAAGGATATCACAAGATAAGGATATCGATATCACAAGAAAACTACAATATCCCTTCTGAATAAACACAAAGCTCCTCAGCAAAATGCTAGCAAACTGCATCCAGAAATTTACAGAAAGGACCATGCACCATAATCAGATGTGAATCACCCTAGGAAATATTAAAAGAATAAAAAAGCAAAATCCATATAAAAAGCATTTGACAATATCCAACACTATCATATAAAGCACTCAACAAACTAGGAGCTATAGAAAGAACTTCTTCAACCTAACAACGGTCACCATGAAAATCCCTATCAATTTCATATTTAATGTTAACATCATACTTATATAATTCTTAATACTGAATTCTTTCTCTCCTATTCCAGATTCTACTAGAAGCTCTAGGAGGACAATTAGGCAAAGAAAGGAAAAGTCACACAGATTGAAAAGGAAATAAATATCTTAACTTTCAGAGTATGATCTTACATACATAAAACCCTTAAATATTCACTAAAAAAAAAAAACTATTAGAGCTAGTGAGCTCAGCAAGGTTACAAGAGCCAAGATAAACATACAAAAATAATTGTCTTTCTACACACTATCAATGAACAACGTGAAAATAAAATTAAGAAAACAATTGCTTTTACACACAACAAAATGAATAAAATGTGCAGGTATGCACTTAACAAAAAAGTTGAAAAATTAACCAAAAACAACAAAACATTATTAAAGAATTTAAAGAAGACTTCTAAATAAATGGAAAAAACATTCCATTTTCCTTAATTGGAAGATTTAGCATTGTTAAGATGGCATTATTTCACAAACTTATACATTCATCACAAATGCTATCAAAGTCCCAGATGTCTTCTTTGTAGAAATAGAAAAACTGACACTCAAATTCATATGTAATTTATAAGGGATCTCAAAGAGTAAGACAATCTTGAAAGTAAGGATTTTCACTTCCTGATTCCAAAGTTACTACAATACCACACTCATCAAGACATGTGGTACCGGTGTAAGTGTAGACATACAGGTTAGTGGAATAGAATTGAGAGTCCAGATAAAAGTCTCCATGTCTATGGTATTTTTATTGTTGTGTCAAGACCCTCCAATGAGGGAGCAATAGTCATTTCAACAAATGGTGCTGAGACAACCAAATATTCTCATGCAAAAGAATATTAACCCCCTATCTCACACCATACACAAAAATTAACTCAAAATGATCATAGACCTAATATAAAACATTATCAAAAGTAGTATAGACAGTTCTCAAAAAATTAGAAATAAAATTCCATACAATCCAGGTATCCTACTTTTGGGTATTTACAAAAAAAAAAAAATAACAAAAGTTTGAAGAGAAAAATACACCCCATTTATTGTAGCATTATATAGAGCATCCAAGAATGAGACACAACCTCAGTGTCTATTGGTTAATGAAAGGACAAAGAATAGGTGGTTTATATATGTAAAGGAATACTGTTTAGCTACATGAGATGAGCTCCTACTACTTGTAACAATGTGGATAGACTGAAATGGAGTTATACTTGGTTAAATAAGCCAGGCTGGAAAAGATAAACTTTGCGTGATTTCACTCATTTATGGCATACAGAGAAAACAAATGGATGAACTCCATAAAACAAACATTTACACTATAAGACCAATTAGTGGTTACCCAAATGAAAGAGGGAAGGAGGGGAATAAATTAGAAAACACAACAATGACCTGTTGAGGTACAGAATTGGACTTTAGCAGAGAACTAAACGTATATTTACATCTTGATTTCAACAATGAAGACCTGAAACTTATGTATTGTAATGAAATGGCACTTCAATAAGAAAGTCTCAGAAGGAAAAAAAAAAAACATAAAAGTATAGAGATAGGTAGGAAAAAAGGAACCAAGACTCTATGATACCATAATGATGGATACCTGTCATTACACATCTGTTCAGAACCACAGGATGTATGCCACCAAGAGTGAACCATTTTGTAATCTGTGGATTTTGGTGATAATGGGTCGATGTCCATTCATCAGCTGTAACCAATATACCACTCTGGTGGGGAATGTTGAGACTGGGGAAGGCTAAATGTATGTGAAAGCAGACATCTATGGAGACCTTCCTCTCAACTGTGCTATGAATCTTAAATTGCTCAGAAAACAAATAAAGGGGGGAGGGAGAGAAGAAGGGGAAAGAGAAGAAGAGTTGTGTTATTTAATTAAGTTTTTCTAATTGGAAACATTTTTGTAAATCCCAATCTGATTCTCCTGGTCAATTTTGGTTATAAAACTTTGCAAATTAAAACCTAATGGAAAACAACTGACAAAATTAAAGCATTGAAATAACCTCCTCCAGGGCCTCCCTTGGTGGCGCAGGCGATTGAGCACCACACTATGAAGCTGTCCGCAGTCTCTGCAGCGCCGGTTTGATCCCAGCTGGTTGGGGAGGGTTCCACATGGCGACTTCTCCTGTCTCGCCTGCTGCTCCCTTCAGCAGTGTATTTCATCAGTCTGCCTGTTCTGTTCCCCACTCTGTCTCTGGTGAATCCTCTCACCCTCCCGCGCATCTGGCCTGTACCCCAGTTCTTGTATAAATAAATAAATAAATCTTAAAAAAAATAAGTAG